CGCATCATGGATGGGGTAGAAGATTGATCACTGCATTGTACACCTGAAGCTGATGTTGTATAATATTGTATGTCAACTATAATTGAATATATATATAGTCATGGGATGTGGAGTATAGTGTGGGAGTGGAGTCAAGGGAATTGTAATAGATATGTATGATATTGGCGGGGGAAGTGGGGCGGCGGATTGTGGGAGGGGAGTTGTCACCTAGAGGGGTAAAAAGTATAACTATTGCACTGTGTTGTAGAGCTGAAACTAATTCTAAAAAATGTATATTTCACAATAAAAATAGTAATTAAAAAAACAAACAAAAAACAGAGTGTGTCAGATTCTATCATTCCTCTGCGTAAAATCTTGCAGTGACTCCCCATGTTGCTTATTCATTGTCTGAAGGCTCTATATAATTGGGTCTTCTGTGATGTATTGTTCACAGACTCTTCCCTTTTCTCATTTGGCTTGAGCCAAATTTGCTTCCTCACTCAGCATGCACCAAATCCTCTTTCCTATGGGTTTTTACTCTAGTTGTTTTCTCAGCCTAGAATGTTCTTCCCCTAGATAATGGTAATATTCCCATCTCCTTCAAGTCTTTGTCAAATCTCTTTCCTGAATGAGGCCTACCCTGAGCACTCTGTTAAACCTGCAGCCTGCTTCCCTGCTCTGCTCCTCATGCACCCACCTCCTTGCCCTGTTTCACTTGTTTATTGTTTTTTCTACTTCTCCATGACCCCCTAGAATGTCAGCCCCAAGAGTTCAGCGTTCTTTTTGGTTTTATTCACTGATATACCCAAAGCATCTAGAAAAGTGTCTGACGCATAGTAGGTGCCCAATACATATTTGTTGAATTGATGAACTGAATCAAGTGATCCTGGGCATATCACTTAGTTGGTCTGTATCTTAGTTTCTAAGTTTATTAGGTGGAGCTATCTGCCCTCTCTCCATCTAAGAGATTTGTTAAGAGAATCAGAATCAGCGATGGCAGGTACATAGCATGTGAACGCTTTTGAATAAAGTACTATACAGAAGGGAAATGGTATTATTGAATAGATCTTCCCTTGTCCTTCTCCTCATCAATACCAAAAAGACTTATTTGGTGTTAAAGTAGAAAAATAATTATATACAGTATTTCTTTAGATTTTTATGACTTATTCCTGAGTATAGCCTCATGAAAGGGGGATCAAATGTAATAATCCTTGTTTCATAAATGGGAATCTTAAGGTAAAAATAAAAAATTATTACACTCAGGTTATTTGATTTTTTTTTTTGGCCTGGATTAATAATGATAATGAGATAGTCTTGAGTTCCAAGGCTGTACTCACTAAACCTATGTCGCTCTAAAAAAATGTGTTACTGTTGAACACTAAACATTGTGGCAACTAGATTTACTTATCAAAAAGTGTTTAGTTAAATGTAGAATCTAAAATAGTCAAATTCATAGAGGCAGAGAGTAGAATGGTGGTTGCCAGGGGCTGGGGAGAAGAGGGAATGGGGAGGTGATGATCAAAGGGTATAAAGCTTCAGTTATGCAGGATGAGTAAGTTCTGGAGACCTACTTTTCAGCACAGCGCCTTGTAACTAACAATTCTGTATTATATAGTTAGAATTTGCTAACCGTGTTCCTATCCACTGCCTCACACACACAGTAAAAAGGGGTCAGAGGAAACTCTGGGAGGTGATGGATATGTCTATGGCAACAGTTTCACAGGTGTATGCCTATCTCCAAATTCATGGAACTGTATACATTAAATATGTACAGCTTTTTATATGCCATTCATACTTTAGTAAAGTGGTTTTTAACAACACCCAAACAATTGTGTTTAACACAAAACAGTGATCTCCTTTAATAAGACTTCATTGTGCCTGGTGTGTACTTGGTCTGGGTTCTAAGATTAGCGGCAGCAGAGGTACTGTAGCTGGACTGGATTGCTCAACAAGAGAGAGCATAAAAATCCCTCACAGTCACCATATGGACTTTTCTCCATAAGTGTTCAGCTTATGGCGGTTAGTTGGTTTGGGGTATAGTCAGTGTTTAGCTCTGAAGTGTCATGTTTGGTTTTGGTTAAGGGCTTGGCTGGGTTCTATCGATCGTTCCCGTGGCTTTGAATTAATGTTTGTTTGGGGGGGAATTGTTCCATAGATATTACTGTTTTTATTTCTTTTGAAATTAAACTATTACTTCAACTGTAAACAAAGTAGATTAAATGTGTTGAGCATCTATTATTTGCCAAACTCTATTAAAGTCAAAGATGAATAAGATGTAGGTTTTATCTTCAAGGAGATGGTCTAACATGGGAGACAGACATTTAATAGTAATATACAGATGTAATATAGTATGATAAATACAATAATAGAAACGTGTACAAGCCACAAGGCACAGTAAAGGAAATAACTAATCTGATCTGGGAGGAAGGATGTTAATCAAGAATAAATATATACCGATACACATACATTATTTATTATTATCGTTGTTGTTGTAATTAACTATCTTAATGGCAATGACACCTTCTTTTCTTGTGTCCCAATGTTTTTAGTGCAAGTACAAGTGAAGTGGAAAGGAGAGAATGAGGGATAGGTCAACAGATTATTTTCTATCTAAAAGACACTTTGACTTTTTTTTTTTTAAAGATTTTTATTTTATTGGGGAATTTGAGGGATGGGAACAGCGCTGGGGAATTGGGGGAAGGGGAACAGACAAGTTGTTGTCCTTTTGTTCTTCAGTCTAGTTGTGGAGGACGTTGCTTCACTGGCCCAAGTAGACACCGTCATTGCGCTCTTCCNGTTATCTAAGGAGGATGCTGGCTGTGGCTGCTCTGTAGCGAACTGATAAATGCAGTCATTTAATAAAAGAGGTTTCTTTTCTAATCAAAGGCAGTATAACATTTTTAAGGGCAAGAAGGAAAATTCAGAATTTTCTAAAAACCAAGATGTTATGTCCTATTTTTAGAATGGTATTCAGCCAAAAATATGTGCCTTCAGCTGTTTGTTATACATGGCATCCAGAAATGGTGCCAATTGTTTTTTATCAACCCCTATTTTTTACTCTGCTGAGTCTAATTTTATTGAATACGAAATCTGCCGACCTACTAGACATTTTCAAAAGGCTTAGAAAATGAGCCTACGTTTAGTACCAGCTTTTTTACCACTATGATGAGCTGGGGTATTATCAGCTTTGAGCCTTCTCATTAGATTATGTCATCCACTCCTCTTAATGGTTGTCATCTACTGACAACTACTTCTTGTTTTGACTATTGTGGCTCCTGCTGTCACTCTCTCTCGCGCTACCCCTGTCTTAATTCTTGGCAATTGCTATATATATAACTCAGAGATGATTCTTCCAGGTTCCTTGGCTCTCAGTTCCTTGAACTTCATTCCTCCAGTGATCTCAACCACTCACTCCCTTGCTCAGATGCTAGACCAGTGGTTTTCAACTCAGGGCGATTTTGCAATGTCTAGAGATGTTTTTGATTGTCATGACTGTGGGGCTGGTATTACTGGCATGTAGTGGGTTGAGGCCATACATGCTGCTAAACACACTGCAATGCTCAGGATGGCTCTCGACAGCAAAGAATTATCTAGTCCAAAATGTCAGTAGTGCTGAAGTTGAAAAACTCTTCCCTAGGCCTTGTCCTTACACAAACTGTAGTCCTGCCATAATCTCTGTCTTAGATATTTCACTTCCTGACCACGAGTGCCTGTCTTCTTCAGCTCATGCCCTCTAGAATCCTTCCCCAAACCATTCTTCCTCCTTACCAATACCTCCGATCTTTCAACCCCTTACCTTTTCACACCCCATTCTTACCTAGTTTAAATTTTATGGTTGATCATTATAACCACACCCTTGTGTACCCCTCCCTTCCTTGCAAAACCCAACCCTGCTTAAATCCAGCTCTTCATTTCCTCTTGGCCCCTATCCATGTGAATGTAGATGGATGGAGCAAAACATACAACTTGATGACTGGTCCCACTTCAGATTCATGACCACAAGCCTCAAGTGGACTTTTAATGCTGTCCAGCAATCACACTATCTGTTCCAAGTTCACACTTCTGCGCTCCAGATGGCCACTTTAACACTTTCTCATGTCTTCTCAAACCTCCAAACCTGCTTCCTTCCCTGTACTCATTTTTAGTTGAGGACCCTGCTGCCTGTTGCACCAAGGAAGTTGAAGTAATAAGAAAACAACCTCCACAGACTCTCTCTGCCCCATCTGCCTGCCTGTCTGGTACCACATGCTATGGACTAAATATGTGTTTTTTCTCCAAACTCCTATGTTGAAACCTAATGCCCACTGTGATGATAATAGGAAGTAGGGTCCTCATGATTGGGATTGGTGCCCTTATAAAATAGACATCAGGGAGCTCACTCGCTGCTACCGTGTGAGGACACAGTGAGAAGGTATTATCTATGAACCAGAAAGTGGGTCCTTACCAGACATCAAGTCTTCTGGGGTCTTGATCTTGGACTCCCCAGTCTCCAGAACAATGAGAAATAAATGTCTGTTGTTTGTTAGGTTGGTGCAAAAGTAATCGTGGTTTTTGCCATTATTTGTAATTACTTTTGTTCTCAGTCTACGACATACTGCTATAGCAGCTCAAACAGACTTAGACACCCCAGATGAACTAGTCATCATCCTTCCTAAATGGAACCCCTCTGCTGGCACACTGGATCCCGTCCTGTGTCACCTGCCCCAGGATATCACCCTACTCTACCCTCCTTGTTTTACATCATCAGATTTTCACTCCCTACTGGATCATTTCCATCAGAATATAAACTTTCCTTTATTTCTCCCTTCTTAAAAAAGCAAAAACAATAAATAATTACTCTTGCCATACTACCTCTGTGCCCCCAAACTACTTTTTTTTTTCTGTCTCCCTTTGCAAGAAAATTCTTTGAAAAGAGTTGTCTATACTTTCTTTCTCCAATTCCTCTCCCATTCTTTCTTAAACCCACTCCAGATGGGCTTTTGCCTCCATCTTTCCCCTCATGCTGTTCTTATTAAGGTCATCAGTGGTTTCTGTGTGACTTAGGTCAGTGGTCATTTCTCAGTCTTCATCTGATTAGCTGCCATTTATAAAGTTGCCGATCACTCCCTGGTCCCTTTCCCCTTGTACAGTTTATTCACTTGGCTTCCAGGATGCCTTATACTCTCTTGGTTTTTTCTTATCTCACTGTGTGCTCTTTCTCTGTCCCCTTTGCTAGTTCCTCTTTTCCCTGACCTGTAGTGCCCAGGGTCTAGTGCTTGGTCGTTTTTTCATCAATGTGTACACTCACTTTTCTGTTGATATCATTCATCTTCTTGGCCTTAACTATTCTTTATTTATATGCCAATATCTCTCAAAAGTATACCCTCAGCCCAGAAGTCTGAACTCCAAACTTCTATAGCCAACTGCCTACTGAATATCTCCATTTGTATATCTAATAGGCGTCGCATATTCAACATTTCAAAACCAAAAATCCTCATCCTCCCACCCAAAATCTGTTCTATCCACAACTTTCCTATCTCAGTTGGTGGCAACTCTATATTTTCAATTGCTCAGGCCAAAAACTCGTGCATCATTCTGGACTCAGTTCTTTCCCTCAGACTCTGCTTGTAATTGTTCAATAAATTCTGTTGGCTCTATAATATGCGTAAAGTCTGACCACTTGATGTCACCCTGGGATAGAACTAAGTATTCCTCATCTGTTTTAGTGTGATAGCCTCTAACTGGTCTCTCTGCTTCTATCTTTGCCACTTTGTTGACCATTCTCAACACAGCCACCAGTGATCTTTTAAAACAGAGTGTGTCATGGAATCTAAAAAACTGAATGAACGAGGAAAGTAAACAGAAGCGGTCCCAGAGATATAGAGGAACAACTGATGGCTGCTAGTTGGGAGTGGGGTGGGGATGAGGGAGAAGGGGAAGGGGTTAGACAGCATAAATAGGTAACTACAATATTGCCACAGGGACATGAAAGACAGTTCGAGGAATATAATTAATAATGTTGTAAATATTTTGTAGGGTNCGGGCGGATCCGCTGACGGCCGCCCGCGGGCCCGCTGCCATCGTCTTGCGTCCTCCTGCCTGGTAAGGGGCTTCTGTCTGGGAAGGGTGCATCCCCTGACGCCCCAGACCCGGCCTGCACCGCGCACCCTCAGCAATACCCGTCAGGGCGGAGGCGAGGCCCGGGTACCGAAGGGAGGAAGGAGGTAGATGTGCTCTGGGGAGAGTAACGGGGAGAAGCCTGGAGGAGGCTGGGCATCTCCATTACCCCTCTGCACCCCCATCCCCGTCCCCCATTCTTTTTTTCACCTTCTGCCCTGGGGCCTTATTTAGTACTTGCAACCCCATGGCCTAGAGGCTGGACTCGCCTTTAAAATAAGCACACAAATAGTAAATAAACATCCTAGCCGTGGGTACCACACCCAGGCTTAGAATTAGGGAGCGGGGGAGCAGATGGATGATGCGATTTAGTGGAAATAAGCCATTATTACCGGCTGGCCCTGCGCCACTGTTTGGATGCGATAGTATTCCATGTGAATGAACATGACCAGGAGCTTCCAGCTCGTCCACGAGAGCACAGCCACTGCAGAGAGCACTGGTCGGTTTATACAATAGTATCCATCGACTTAGGCAATGATTTCCTGACATGTCTGGTGATTGAATAGAAATGCCATTTTTATTAAGAATGACACTCAGTCGAACAACCTTTCGTTAATATATTCCCTCATCAAATAACTGTCTTAGCCTACCAAAGTAGGTGGAGTGCAAATTATGCCTACATTTTTGAAAATCTCATGAGCTAGAGGAAGATGCTCAGCGTGGATCAGCTTCTGAGTCAGCAGTATGAATTCTCCCTTGGCTGAGTACTGAGGCCTTTTGGGGACTTTTATATCTGTATCTATACCCTCATCCTTACCTGTATCTGTACCGTGTATACTGTTAAGATATAGCGAGATATTCAGTTAAGAGTCTAAGCTTATGTTGTACATGTTCTGAGAAAGATTTTACTTTTGCAAGTTTTAACATCATTGAATACTACGGGGTATAAATAAATATGTAATACATTACCATAACAACACTTTGTGCTCCCCTGACTCTTTAAAAAGAGAAAGGAGTGAAGGTAATACAGATTTCAGTTTTTGCTTTATACTTAAATTTTTTAAAAATTAAATTTATTGGGGTGACATTAGTTAATAAGATTATGTAAGTTTCAAGTGTACACTGTTATAATACATCACGTGTATATTGTAGTGTCTGATCATCATCCAAAGCTTAGTCTCCTTCTGTCACCATAAATTTGACCCTCTTTACCCTCTTCAACCTCCCCCCACGCTTATTTTTAATGTAATTTGTAACCCTTGTTATTTATAACCTTTCTGACCGATTCTTTAAAATAACTTAGTTCAGTGCTTCTCTTTTTCTTATCAAGGAAAAGTGGTTAAGCTTTTAAAATGTCATCTATCAAGCACCTCGTTTATGCAGTTATTCGTTTCTTACGGGAACAAAGTCAGATGGATGCTTATACTTCAGATGAACAAGAAAGTTTGGAAGGTAGGTACCTGTTCTTTATGTCCATTTGTGTTATAATTATAAAGACAAAATAGCTATAAGTCTGATTTTGCTCTATTAAAATTAGAATACTTTGATCTTTCAAGAAGAGAGACCAAACTATAAGGTCATCATGTTTTCATTCTCTGGGGCTTGTTTGTTTGTTTTAATTAACAAGATAAAAGGGCTATTGTTCATTTATTGAGCCACTATTATGTGTCAGAACTATGCTATTCATACAGTAGAGAATTTTTTCTTCACAGTGACTG